TCTGAGTTCCAGGCTCGGAGAGCAGAGATGGGGCCTCAGTTATGAAACCCAAAATGTAGAGTAGGATACTGAGACTTGTGCTCTGAGGCACGAGGTGCGGGCTTGGTCTCTTATTCCTGGAGGAATAAGGCAAGTTACTAGAACAGGACAACACCTGAGTGGGCTGAACAGGAAGAGCAACTTCCCACCAAACTTCTGAGCAGCTGGCCTGGACTCTTAACAAATCCCCTACAACTGAAATTAAGACTGTTCCGTGGGGGCTTCCCTGGTGGCGCAGTGGTTGAGAGTCCGCCTGCCGATGCAGGGGACACGGGTTCGTGCCCCGGTCCGGGAAGATCCCACATGCCGTGGAGCGGCTGGGCCCGTGAGCCATGGCCGCTGAGCCTGTGCGTCTGGAGCCTGTGCTCCGCAACGGGAGAGGCCACAACAGTGAGAGGCCCACGTACTGCAAAAAAAAACAACAAAAAAAGATATTGATGCCTAGACCCACTCCTAGCGATTCTGACTTAATTGGTTTGGGAGGGGGCTCAAGCAAGTATCAGCATTAAAAAAAAAAAAAAAAAAAAAAAGACTGTTCCGTGGGCCTAAGACTGCTCTGGTCGTTCAAATGGAGGCTACGTGGTCTCAGCTGTGGAGGACCAGGGAGGCTGGAGTATAGTGCCAGGCTAAAGCTTTCCAACGCTCATCTCTGAGTGATTTTCAAAATAAACTAAAAACATAGTAAGTCACTTTAGGCAGGAGATGAAATAAATGCACTTGGAGCACTGTTTGAAGTCTTTTGTTTCCAGTGTTATTCATAGAAATCAAATATTTTACAAGAAAGTTTAAGTACAACAAGAAGCTTTAGAGACACTAAATCTACTATGTCATGGATGACCCATATTCTGGAAGATGTTTATCTAGGCATTTCTAGAGTGTATTTGCAGAACTGCTACTTGGTCTCTACGGAATAACTCCGTAATTCTCCAGCAAAAAGAGTGACTTCTCCTAGCTGAGGCCAGACTTGTGAGAGTTAAGGTAGGTTAGGGCCTTGATGGCATTAATGCAGATCAGGCTCTGTGGGTAAACATGCACAGCAACTAGGAATCAACCCACAAAGGACAGTGAGGCCAAGGTCAAGAAATCCCAAACCAGAGTCAAGAGTAAGGGAAGAAGAGCTCCATTTCAAGATTACAGGTTGTAACGTAGGACGTCCAAAAAGGGAGGGATCAGCAGAAAGAACATATACTTGGATGTGTGTCTGCCTGTGAAGTGGATGCAAGAAGGGCAAGAGGGCTTCCCTGGTGGCGCAGTGGTTAAGAATCTGCCTGCCAATGCAGGGGACACAGGTTCGAGCCCTTGTCTGGGAAGATCCCACATGCCACGGAGCAACTGAGCCCGCACGCCACAACTACTGAAGCCCGGGCACCTAGAGCCCGTGCTCCGCAACAAGAGAAGCCACTGCAATGAGAAGCTCGCGCACTGCATCGAAGAGTAGCCCCTGCTCGCCGAAACTAGAGAAAGCCCGCGTGCAGCAACGAAGGCTCAATGCATCCAAAAATATAAATAAATAAATTAAAAAAAAAAAAAAAAAGAAGGGCAAGAGCTGGGAAGCAGAAAGGAAAGCAAGAGAAAGGCAGCGGAAAAGAGAAGGCTTCTGAAGCAATAGAGAGAATTCTAGAGACAAAAATTCCAAGCCAAATTCTACTCCCAGCTTGCTGAGTAGCTTCAGGCAATTCCCCACGGGCCTCAGCTTCCTAGTCTATAAAACGAGACAATGGAGTGGACTGGTCTTTTAGGATCTTTTTATCTTCAGCATTCTGTGACTCTAAGATTACTGCTGTTATGTTATCCTTCCTTCCTTCTCACCTGCAGGTATTTATGATGAACCTGTCTGAGCCTGAGGATATGTGTGGATAAGCCAAGTCACACACTGTCCCATCACAGCTTTGGCATGCAACCTCTGGGGCCGCCATATTGATTCAAAGGCAGCCAATCCATAAGCTGTCCAGTGACATCATCTCTCCTAGCTGAGACAATTAGAGTCTTGCTTGGAGATAAGTATAACACAGAGGACAGGCACATGGGCCCGGCAGCCAGATTGTCCAGGTCCAACTCCTGGTTCCACTATTTACTGGTTATGTAGAAGCTGGGGAAGTTACTTCGTCTTACAGTGCCTCAGTTTCCTCAGATGTCAAATGGAGAAAATAATATAACCCATCACTTAGGGTTGTTGTGAATTTTAAATTATTAAATTGTTCATGTACGTAGAATAATCTAGAGCATATAGTAAGCACTCAATGAATATTAGCTATTCATATTCAATATATTACTGTTATTATTATTAATTATTAGTCTTGTGAATTCAAATTGGGAAATGTAGAGAGACAAAATTGGTTATCAGTAGGGTTGGAAAATGAAGAGTGTCAAGAAATAAGGTTGGGTCACGGCAAACACATGTTGCATGCATGCCAAAGTTGTCATAGGACAGAAGCTGTAAGTAAGCAGGGCAGCCTGTCAGTAGAGAAAGGGAGAAGACACACAAAGAGACCTAAAGGGCATGAGAGAGAGTGAGAGAACCTGGGGCCCATGGGAGAGATGGGCAGTGGTCTATCTTGGGAGCTGTCTTGGTACCTAATGCATGCTAGACGTGGTCATTGTCTCAGTGTAATAAGCCCCATTTTCTTGAGGGTCTCCTTGCAATCCAAGAGCATAACTAAAACAGAGCCCATAGACTGAATGAGACATAATGCTTGGGCTCAAAGAGTTCTTTTAGTGTTTGTCAACTGGCAATCCCAAAGCAGAAATGTATGTTCAATAATAAAGACTTTCAAAGTATACTTTGAAACCAGTTGAGCAGTCATTTACCCTATCTGGGGAGGTGAGAGGATGGTGTTGTCAAGGAGGGCTTCCTAGAGGAGGTGATGCCAGGATTGCATCATAAACTATTGGTAGGAGGATGGGGGAGTCAGAAGAATTCAGACAGAAGGGACAGTAAAAGAAGATGCCCCAAATCCAGAAACAGCCTGGGGTACACACAGAAGTCCAGGCCAGCCTGCTGGGCTACTAAGGGTTAGGAGGGCAGCACATGGCCAGAACAGGTTTGAGGAGTGGCTTAGAACTTCATTTAACAAGTATTTACTGAGCACCTACTGTGAGCCAGGCACCATTGGGGAAAGCAAGCATAGAGCAGTGAGTGAGGTAGCAAGGTCCCCACCCTCTTGAAGCTTGCATTTCAGTGGGTAAGGCAAGCATCATCCCATAAACAGAAAAATATCGAATTTTAAATAAAATTAAGGAATATGAAGTAAAACAAAGCAGGATAAGGGAATAGAGAGGGATGTGATGAGGTGGGGAAAGGCTATTGCAGATGGCTGGCCAGAAGAGGAGATGGCATCTGAACAGAGACGTGAATAAAGACAGGGGGAGGCTGTGGGGAGCTTCTCGAGGTAGCTTTAGGTGAGAGATTATCTAGGCCTGAAATAGGGCGGCGCTGGTTAAGATGGAGGTGAAGAAGCAGGGTTCTTCAACATTTGGGAAATAAACTTGTCAGGCCTTAGCGATTGTACAGATGTTGGGGGCATGAGAGAAAGGAAGGGATGAAGAACAACGCCCAGATTTCTAACTCAGGTAGCAAGGAAGATAGCAGTGACACAAACTGAGGCACAGAATACAGGAGGAAAAGCAGGTTGGGGATGAAAGGCGACAGGTTGTCCTTCAGAACAGTGGGGCCCTAGCGTGATCCCTTAGATTGTGGTATCCCCAGCTGGGGAATCCAGAGCTGGAGCAGAGGCCTGGCTGGAATTTGGACTCAGGAGTGACTGGCCCATGGGTGATCAATGAAGCCATCAGCTGCACTGAGGCTGCCTGTCAGTCAGCCAACAAGTATGTAGCGAGCACTCGGCAAACGGCAGGCAGTGTGGCAAGTCCTGAAGGAGCGTCGTTTGTAGTGGGTCGTGAACAACAGTCTCCAAACAACTAAAATGATTTCAAGTACTGATGATAGGGGCTGTGAAGAAATTAAAATAAGGTCACGGCATAAAGAGTATTGGAGGGGAGGAGGGGGTGGTGGCAGAGATTGCTTTACCCCTGGTGGCCAGGAAGGTCCTCTGTGAGGACACGATGCTTGAAGGGAAAGCCGAGTAAGAAGAACACTGCCCTGTGAACTCTGGATAAAGACCCTCTGAAGCAAAAGAAATTATGTTCAGATGGGCGTGGCCTTGGTGTGTCTGAAGGACAGGTGAAAGGCCAGAGTGGCCAGAACAGAGTGAGTGAGGCAGGCTGGAGGGACAGAGGTCAGGGTGGGCCACATGGGGAGGAGACTGGGTTTTATCCTGAGGGAATGTGTAGAGTTAGAAGAGCAGAAGCCTGAGGAAAGATTCCTGGGAAACAGCAGCCTGAAGGACGAAGGGAATGTAGTCACAAAACCAGGAGAGGGTAGGCTTTTGAGGAGCAAGTGAGAAATCCTCCAGCAGCAATGAATATATCCCTTTTATGTTCATAACAAAGAATGGCTCCTGTTTTGTGAAGAATGGAATGAAAGGATCATTCAACTTCACCCACAGCCCACTTGTAAGCTAAAGGCCTGAGAAATGCGTATGTCCTGCCACAGTTTCTTGAGTTTCTCTTCCAACATAACAGCTTTTGTTTACCTGGTGATGTGTAGATCAGCGGGGAATCGATGTCCACAGAAATGTTTTAAGATAGCTGCAGAATCTGCAAGGTAGTTCAGCCATTGTATGCTTTCACTGTGCAGATGAGAAAATGCAAGTGCACAGAAGCTAAAAGGCTTTTCCAAGTCAATATAGGCCTAAGATCAAGATAGCATCCCTGCCCCGCCTCTCTCTCTCTCTCTCTCTCTCTCTCTCTCTCTCTCTCAGCATCCCTGTCTCCTTATTCAAAGGCTACTTTTCATTTGGCACCTAGCTCATGTCTGTTGGGAGAAAGCTATCATTAGAAGTTTTTGGACCACCAAACCCCAGGGATGGGCTGGAAGCATCACCACCTCTCTTTATCCACAGGCACGACACTTCGCTTGGATGTCTGGGATGGATGGAAGGAATTTCTGATGGGCTGTCTCCTCGGACAAAAACTTAAAGTCCAACGCTATTTATCAAATGAAGGGCCAGTACTCAAGTATGAGATAAAGCAAATGCTAAACTAATTAAAGTAATTTTTGCTAAACTTTCATAGGAACTTGAGTCTGCAATTCACTCTAGCTGGGGTGCTGCTCCAAGGGAGTTCCCTTGAGACATTTTTACTGAGATATTTGCTCGAATAAGATAGCAGGGATGCCACCAGGGCTGACAGCCTTTGGTGATGTATTGTAATTCAGGTAGACTTTCATCAGGAAACACTATCTAAATGCACGACTTCAGTTTGGTTTGGATATTAGACTTTTATCGGCAGTTTTTAAAGGATATCAGAATAAGTGCCTTGCCACTCTCACATTCAATTATTCTAAAAACCACTAATTGCTTACTGATTGGCTGAAAACATTGCCTACCTCTTCCTAAGCTATCATGTAACTTTTCAAATCCCATCTAATTCACACATTCATACTTTTGCCATACATGAAGTGTAACACATGCTGCTGGGGCAGTGGAGGAGGGTAGGCTCAGAGAAGCAGGTGGACATTTTAACATATCTCTGCAGCCAGCAGCTTCCCAGGTGCATAAACTGCATTACCCTTTAGGTTTTAATTCAGTGGTATTTAGAACAGTGCCCCCTTGTGGTGATTTAGTCATACTTTACAGAAGCACACACGCTCAGCAGGAGCTCTACGGGCTCTGTGAAGTGACAGATTGGAAAACCAGCTTTTGCAATTTTATAAAACATTTAAACATTTAAAATTAATTTATATTTGGGGATAATTATAATTCTCTCTTTTCTTTCTTTGCTCTGAATCCAAAGAAATAGCTGTTGCATTGTTACTTTTAATAGTGCATACTTACTGAGTACTTTGTAGCATTGTGTTATATTTATTAACTAATTTTATACTTATAACACTTTTATGAGATGAATACTATTTTATCTTATTTTACAGATAAGGAAACTGACTTAGGAAATCTGCCCAATGTCACACAGCTAGCAAGGGCACAACTGGGTTTTAGATCCCCACAATTTAATAACTCTAGTGCTCATGTACTTAACTATTTCCACTTAATCTTTAAATAAAATCTAAGAGCTCAGAGAATATAAACACGATATGCATATGATCAGAGTGAAAAGCTCCTTTTATTCCTCCACCCAATCAACAATGTATGTACTATGTACTATGAAAGCAATAAACAAGATATGGTCCCTGCCTTTAGCAAATTTATAGTCCAGTAGGGGAAACAGAAAACAGGTAACCAATTCCTGGAGAAACAGAACTGCAAAATGTCTGGGAGTACAAACTCCAGTGCTCATCTACCTAGGTTCAAAGCCCCACCCCCTCAGTGTTTAGTCGTGTAAACTTAAGCAAGTAGTCATCCTGTACCTCCGTTTCCTCTTCTGTAAAATGGGGAAAATAATAGTACCTATCTCATAGAACTACTTTAGAGATTAAATGAGCTAGTATTATAAGGAACTTAGAGGGCCACCTGGCACATGGTAAGGAGGATACAAATGTTAGGTGTCGCTGTTACCATTCAGTGTGAAAATTGTTATGACATGGGCATTGTGCAAGAAGATATGGGAATGTATAGTATGGACAACTGTAGGGGATCAGGTAAAGCACCCCGAGAAAGGGACTTGAAGGGCTGATACTCAGGTAAACAGTAGGGAGAAGAATAAAAATGTCTCAAAACAGATAGAACCACACGTACAAAGACCCAGGGGGCAAGAGAATGGATTCAAAGAACTGAAAGAAGTTCCAAATGGTAGATGATAGAGTAAGAGGAAGCTAGTGGCCAGGGGCTGGAAAGATAAGAAGAGGCCAGCTCATGCAGGCCCCTGTAGGAATGTGAAGGATTTGGATTTTATCGTTTAAATGTTGGGAAGACATTGAAGGCCATGATGAGATCTGCATTTTAGAATATTGGCTCTGACTGCAATGTGGGGAATAGAGGCCGACAGGGAGACAGGAAAATGGTCCAAAGCAAACGGCAGCCTGAGCTAGGCTTATGACAGCAGAGGTGGGGCTAAGAGGACAGACTGTGAAAAGATCATTTAGGAGGCAGAATCAACCAGTCTTGGTAACAAGAGTGCTCTAGTTCCCACAACATGCGTGTTGAGGATGAAAGCAAAGTCCAGTTCATGCAGGAGGGGCTCTTCTCCCCAAATCAAATTCAGAGTTGCTGATCTGCACTAGTGAATTTCAGACGAAATTGATATGTGAACCAAAAGGCCAGCATATTAATGTATAACTCTAATTAGTTATAATCTGTCAGAGGGTCCTAGAAACCCACATGTTCTGGGCAGACCATCTCTCTTATGCAGGAAAATTACACGGGATGCCACATACACCTGAAAATTATGGTGTGGTGAGCATGCAGTCAGAGACGGGAGAGTTAGTTATACGCAGATTATGGACGATACCAGCTAGCTGGCCTCCATCTCTACCATGAGGTCACAGAGAGCCTTGCCCAAGTAAATCCTGGACGAAACCTGATGGAACCCTGTCTAGCTTTGCCTCTCTAATTCTTATTTCTCTGAATAGTCTTCACCCATCATTCAATTTGTGCCTGATGGGGAACTGGAAGGATGGGGATGGCAGGAAGGCCAGTGTGGCTATAGTTCAGTGAAAGAGAAGGGGAGTGGTAGGAAGTGAGGCAGGAGCTGGGGCAGGGTCCAGGTGACAGGTGCCCTGAAGGCCAAGATGAAGAGTTAGAATTTCAATTACAGCCGGAAGCTACTAGAGGGTTTGGAAGAGAGCATGGGCCACCTCCAACATATGGAATAAAAAGACTGCTAAGCACTGCATGAGGAAAATCCCGTAGGGGGATAAGAGGAGGTGTTAGAAAAGACAAAGCAAACAAACATACAAAGCATTCAAATTTCTAAAATGTACTGAATTTCTTCCTGTGCTTCCCCAGTGAATATAAAGCTTGATATTTATCTTGAGCATTAGATTTTCGTAAAGGAAAACACTGCTCCAAGGAAACCAGTTTGAATTATTTATATGTACACAATAGGACAATGTGTATAAGCAGGACCTGTGCAGTTTAACCTGTGTATTACTATAGACCTTTTCTGAAAATATTTTTAAAAGTTAGGAAGGTAAAAGTAAGGAAGAAATAAATATTTTAACTAGAATGTTTTGTGGGTATTTAGTGTAACTACCTTTGCCTGTTTGCTGAATTACTAAACAGCCCCGTTCTCACTTGTTTCATTCATTCAGGTATCAGAAAAGGGTTGCCCGGTACATCGCCGCCTTTTACGGGCACACTGAGCTCACTGAATGGGCCCTGAAGCAGGGTGTGCGGCCCCACGAGATGGTCGGCGTGCACCCCTACCGAGCTTGGTGCCATGAAGCCCTTCACGCAGATGTCTCTAAATGCCCCATTCATGCAGCCGCAGAAGCGGGCCAACTGTTGATTCTGAAGGCTTTTGTCAACTGCAGCGTGCTGTGCCTGGAATGCAAAAACGCAGCGGGACAAACTCCCCTTACCATTGCGTTCAAACACAAGCATAAAGACTGCGTATTATATTTACTGAGTAAAATGTGGTCCACTGTTTCTTTTCTGAAAATCTCAGTCCCCATGAGGATTTATATTAAAATAAAACAATGGGTACTCAGAGCTCAGAGTCACAACCTTAATAAAGGCCAGCTTTGCGGAGCAAGCGTCTTTGGAGCAAAAGTTGGAGACGTTGTGATGGTGGATGGTTTCACCAAACCCAAAATGACCTCCAAGAGCTGGCATAAGGCTGAGAACAAGGACTCACAAGGCACTGTGGGCAAACTACCGCCTCTCAGGGAGCAAACTGTAAGCAGGAAACGTGTCAATCCTGTGGCAATTTCACAGCAGGACACAAGAGAACAAACACTCAAATTTCCTCCGCTGGTAGATGCAAATACGTTCTTTGAATTACAAAAACAACAAAATCGGAAAACAATTACTGCCACAGCTAGGAAAAAAGAAAAGCTCATAAAAAATACATATCTCCCTCAAGTCCCCCTCCCTCCAGTTTCAAGAGTGAGCTATTCACACCCATCTTTTTACTATGCAACACCCAGTGCCAACTTTTTACTCAGATCCTCCTTTGCATCTTTCTCAGAGCACAGTGGAAGGACTCCAAGGGAGAATGCCATCTACTACTTAGCTGTGGACAGGTAAGGTTTTCTCTTCAAACAAACAAGGATAAACCTTTACTAGGGCAGGTCTAGGGGAGGAATGGTCTATGAAGCCGTCACACTAGCATGCCATGTAGTATAGCACAGGTTTTTCCCGTGCATCAGTGCCCAGCTTCAAGGACCTAGCCTTGTTCTAGGACAAAATGAACTGATTTTATTGGCCAATCCATGTAGTATTCTACTTGTCAAGTTTTCAGGAAGAAAGGAGTTGTATCAATTAACAAGGTCACTTGTTTTTTTTTAAAAAAAAGTAAAAGAAATTGTTAATTATAATTAAAGGGATAAGGGGGAAACTTGAAATCTGGGAGACATCAAAAGTGTCATGGAAGCCTGGATGGTAATGAAAGTGGAAGGAAAGAAAAGAACAATTTAATGACAAACTGAATCAAAAAAACTTCAGTTGACTTATAGACAAGAAATGCAGGCCGGGGGAGAGCTATATTGGATAGGGTGATAGAATTGATATTAATATTTAAGGTAAGTTTAAAAAGTAATCCATTATCACATTTAAAGATATAAACAAGTGTGTTGGAAGTGGATTTTTTGGGCACATTCATTTCATAAAATAAAATTTTATATATTGGTCATCAGATTTCACTGAAAACACTACTCTGATTAGATCTCAAGATAAATACTTATGAGGTATTATTGGGTGCCAGTATTACAGTGAAAATATAGATTTATAACGATTTTTCCCCTTACTCGATATAATGAGAAGGAAAGAAAAAATAAAGCTAGTTTGTTTTAGTTGCCTTTCTGTATTGGTCTTTATTTCAGATCTACTTTATTTCAGCTAGGTTGTTGCCACCTAGTGGTGAGAATAATTGCCATAGTGGTGAGCTATAAAATGCAAACTTCAGCATACAGCATGATAAGGTTGAGAAAAGATGAAGAAACTGCTTAACAGCTTCAATCTTTGTAATTTATGAGATATCTCTGACTAGAATGTATAAAAAGATAATCTAAAATTATAGAAAAAGACCAGAAAATTATTAATTGAAAAAATTATATAATCCATCTTAAAATCAGCCTGTAAACGTAAGGAAATACTGATCAGTTTTATCAAAAGATGCACATTAAAAATGATTTTATTTTTTAAACATCCAAAAAAATGCTTATTATGGCCCAGTGCAGTGCTAGGCACAATGGAAATGTGCCAATGTATCTGTGGTTAAGGTGGCCATGTATGTGGTATTGGGTGAAAGGCTGCCAGTGTCTATTGTGTGTGGTGCTTTCTTGGGGAGGAACTGAGTTGTGATATATAGAGTTAAATGCATAAACAGCACTAATCTCACATGTATGGCTTTTTTTATTTTATTTTTTTAATTAATTTATTTTTTATTTATTTGGTTGCGTCAGGTCTTAGTTGCACAGGCTGACTCTGTAGTTGTGGCTCGCAGACTCCTTAGTCGTGGCTCGCCAGCTCCGTAGTTGGGCACATGGGCTCCTTAGTTGTGACACATGAACTCTTAGTTGCAGCACGTGTGTGAGATCTAGTTCCCGGACCTGGGATCGAACCTGGGCCACCTGCATCGGGAGCACGGAGTCTTAACCACTGTGCCACCAGGGAAGTCCCTGAATTTTTATATTTGCATACATGCATGTAACAACCACTCAGATCAATTGCAAAATATTTCTAGCACCCCAAAAAAGTTCCTTCATGCTCCTTGTCAGTCAATGACCCCTCCCAGATATAACCATTATTCTGATCTCTATCAATGAGATTAGTTTTGCCCCTTCTTGACTTTCATATAAAGGGCACCATATGTTATGTATCTTTCATGTCTGGCTTTTTTGTGCAACAAATTGTCTATGAGATTCATTCATGTTTTTGCTTGTATTGATTCTTCTTATTTCTGTATAGCATTCCATTTTTATGTAGTATTCCACATCTCTATCCAATCTCCTATTGAGGGGCATTTGAGTTGTAACTAATTTGGGGCTATTTTGAAGAACACTCTATGATTATTCTTGTATATAAGTTTGGTGGACATTTGCATTCATTTCACTTGACTCTATAACTAGGAATGGAATTGTTAGGTCATAGGGTTAGCTTTAGTAAACACTTCCACACAGTTTTCCCAAGAGGTTACACTAGTGTGCTGTTTTTGCAAGTACACTTCATAAGTATTGGAGTTATCAAGGGGAAGCAATTTCAAGGTTGAGAAAGGACTTGGTGGGGAAAACATTTCATTCAACAAAAAGGTTAGTGCAGGGAATTCTCTGGCGGTCCAGTGGTTAGGACTCCATGCTTCCACTGTAGCGGGCAAGGGTTTGCTCATAGGAGGAGGGGTGGTCAGTGTGATTGTTCACTTCCTCTGGCAAAGTTACTCCTAGCAAATCTTTCCAATTATATTGTTTCTCTTTTCCCAGTGCTTTTCTCTTCCCTCTGTTTGTATTCTCTACTGCCTTCCCATCTGTTTTCTCCCCTTTCCACTGCATCTATCCCAGGATCTGTCCCATATCCCTCTGCTGGTGGGCTGTGGAGGGATGGGGGGACCTGCACGCCTCATGCGCCTGCAGGGCTCTTTCTGACCTGGCTCATTGTCCCCTCAAAGGAGTCATGAAAGCACCCATGTCCACCTGAAGTCACCAGTCAAGCCAAGCAGCTAGGTGGTCTGAGCACTTACCACTAAAGGACCAGTACAGCTCTTGTGCCAAAACGTAAGGAGCGGACATGCGCTATCTTGAAGGCTGGGCCCACCATCATCAAGGTAGTATCATAGCCAGGAGATGGGGAAGAACCTAACTAATCCTTCCTGGTGCTAACCTGGGGGAATTGGGTCAGGGTGGATCCATCTGATGCTGCTGATTGTGTGGGAAGGGTGGCCTCCCAAACCAGGACCCCAGACATCTCATCTGGTGTCATGTGAGAGCACTTGCTGGAACTCCACCTTTAGATTCACGAAAATATACCTGTGAGGGTTGACTCAAAGAGAGTATTGCTACAGTTAGCTCAGATCCAGTGCTGGGTTGGTGCATGTGGCTGGTGTGGAGATGATAGTAACTCAGGCCAGATTGAGTCTCATTCCCCAGAAGATGGTGTCAGCTTTATACAGATCAAAGAATATTTACAAGGTGTGTCTAGAAAACTTGTCTTCCTTACTGCTTATTGTCTGATTCCAGTGAGGTTGATGCAACTTGGAAGTCCAGCTTAGTAGAGATTCAGATATGGAGGATTGGTCCAGAAGCTTCAGTGTCCTGAGTGCACTGAGAATAGGTGACAGTCCCCAGTGGTGACTCTGATGGGCTCCCATGCTCCTGATAAAAGCAGAGCTCTCTGTGTTGTTTTGTTTTGTTTCGCTTTGATGAAAAGTACCAAGGATGGGGCAGGGGAATCTTGCCACAAGTTTAAACCACTGTGGTTGATGAGGGTGTTTGCCTCAGCCTTGGACGGTGAATACAGGGAATAAACCTGCTTGGCCTGGTCATGCCCCTAAGTCTCACTCTTGATACAGGAGTAACTCCTCCCCAAACTCCTTTTGATAAGCGCTCTATTTGTTGGGGATTGTAGGAGCAAAGGAGAGTCTGAGGGGAGATGAAAACAAATGAGGAGGTGGAGAAGAAGTCTGTTTGGCCTGAAGGCAGTGTTGGTGCAGAGCAGAAAGCTGGGAAATGTAATATTTTCCCTTAAAAAAAGAATTTTAAGGGACTTCCCTGGTGGCGTAGTGGATGAGACTCCACACTCCCAATGCAGGGTGCCCAGGTTCGATCCCTAGTTGGGGATCTACATCCCACATGCAAACCACAACTAAGAGTTCACATGCCACAACTAAGGAGCCTGTGAGCCACAACTAAGGAGCAGGTGAGCCACAAGTAAGGAGCCCACCTGCCACAACTAAGGAGCCCAGGTGCTGCAACTAAGGAGCCCACCTGCCACAACTAAGACCCCATGCAACCAAATAAATATATTTTTCAAAAGAATTTTAATTAGAAAATACAGTAATATGTGCTTTCTGGGAAGCATCCAAACAACATGGGAATGTATAAAGTAACCATGAAAGTCTACATCCATCCTCCAGCCCCACTCCTCTCCCCTCTCATGAATCCCATCCGTCTCCCCAGAAGGCATCATTATTACTATGTGTAGCCTCCTAGAACTTTTCCATGTATCTCAATATATGTATGTGAGATATGTATGTGTGCATGCCCTTTTCATCCTAAAAGATATTTTACTGCATTTATGTTCCCAAATATATATCTCTTAGACATAACCATCAAATCTTTCTACGCTAGGGAGAAGGAACTACCTTGTCCTTTTTAACGGCTGCCTAGTATTCCACTGCGTCCATGTATAATAAGTTATTTAACCAGTCCTCTCTTGATTTACATTCAAGTTGTTTCCATTTTTCACCATGATAACAGTGGTGCAATATATCCTTTTATGTGTAATACTTAATCATTTATGGAAGTATTTCTATAGGACACTTTCACTGAAGTGAAATTGCTTATTCAAAGGACATATACATACTAAGTTAACTTCCTGAAAGGTTGTAGCAAATCGTACCCATCTATACAGTATGAGAGGCTCCTTTTGAGTGAATTACATATCTACAGCTAGGAGGGGCCAAGGCTCAGAGGGAGTTGTAGTGAAGGAGTGAAGAAGAGGACATGACAAAGTCTCTAAGGGTCAGCTTGTATGCTACTGTGTTATAAATCACCCTTCCCTGAGAAGGAAATGTCAGTAGTACCCCTGCCCCCAAGAACAGTTTGGTACAATTCAGTTGCTGGCCCTTGTAGAAAAAGGCCTGCCCTGTACTTTCCAAGTTTACCTTGCAATGGGTATGGAGCAGGTATTTTCTCTCTTTGATTCCTCCGGGATATAAACTACCCTCTCCCTCTCCCTGTCTCTCCCCCAACCCCACCCCCTTCCTAAGGTACTGGGGTACAGTGGAAGCAGGGGCTAAGGCTCTGCTGACCTCCCTTTACTGGCAAGCCTGCCATTTTGCATAGATGAGCACGTGAGCCCTAGGAAAGCACAGGCACTGAACAGGGCACCGTTCTTGTGCATTCCTGAGCACTGGGTTTAGGAGGCCAGTTGCATCACATCATCTCCTCAGTTCTGCTTTGAGGAGAGAGCCCACAAGAACAGCAAAGGGAGACATGAGCTGGACCTTCAGCTTACACGAGTCACAGAGTTGACTGAAACCTGAGGGTTCAGCCTCCCAGCCTAGCTTGTCCAATGCTGCATGCCCAGGCCTTGCCCTCCAGTTGAAGACCCTGAATCCGTGACCCATTCAGGTGGGCAAGAACCTTGTTTCCTCTGTTCACTTTTATATCTTTAGCACAGCGCCTGGCATACAGTAAGGGCTCAATAAATAGGTGTTTAATGAATGCATAGAGGTCAGGGAGAGGTGGATATAGTTATACCATTCTTTCCTCCCTAAGCTGGGACTTCTATGCTGAAAAGAAACACTGAGATTCAGTTAGGTGGTTGGGCTGATGGCCCAGTTAGTGGTTACTAATGGTTATTCATTCAACCAACATCTATTGAGCTGGAGGTATGGTGGTAACTTTCCTAGTTTTAGCACTGAAAGTTCTGTTTCCTGAGAAATCCCTGAGGCCTGGGCAAATCAGGACAGTTGGTCACCCTATACAGTCAAGAGCAGATACAGATACAGTCCTGCTCTTTGTGAGGCAAACCGTTTAGTTGGTGTGATGGGCATTATCACCCAGGCTAACTGGGGAAAGTGCTATGAAGGAGAGGAACTTGGAGAGAGAGGTTCTATGGAAGTCTGACATAGACCTTGACCTCCCTAAGAAAATGTCTGAGCTGAGATCTGAAGGATGGGAAGGAAGAATGCAGTGCTCCAGGTAGAGGAAAGAGCTTGTGCAAAGGCCTTGTGGCTGGAGCTTATGGGGAAGTTATGAAATGGGAAGATATGCTAGAGCAAAGGGAGAGAAGAGAGGTACAAGACAAACATGGAGAGGTAGGCAGGGCTCCATAAGAAGACCTGGGCTATTTTACCCTAAAAACAAGGAGAGAGCATTGAATGGTTTGACCTGATCAGCTTTGGATTTTTTAAGACCACTTTGGCTTCAGTGTAGGAGAACAAGAATGGATTCTGGAAGTCCAGATAGGAGTCCAGGGCAGAGATGGTGGGAGACTGCACTACAGGAGTCATGGAGAGAAGTAAATGGGTTGGAGACAAATATAAGAAAGAAATTGATAGGATGTGGCGGTAGATTGCATATGATAAGGAATGAGGGGCAGGGTGGATGGAAGGACTCTTGTCTTTGGAGATAATCAAAGCAGGGGTGAGGTTCTGGGCTCACAGAGACTCCCAGCCACTGCTGAAGCAGCAATGTCCATAGTGCTCTTTAGAGAGATATGGGCAGCTATAGGAAACCCCAGGTCTTCCCAGGAGCTTACAGACATATTTGCAGCAGGGCCTAGTGTTCACAGAGTCCAAGCGAGAGCCCAGTTGATGGAAGCAAAATGATGCTGTAGCAAGGCAACCCTGTTGATGAATATGCTTGTTGTCTTTGCATGCCAGACTGATGTAACCAAATTTGGCTTTCCTGGGTAGGTTCCAGGAACCCAGAAAATGATGACTCAAGGACAAAATGCCTAAGTTAGGCCACTTTCACACACTCAGGGGGGGTCTGGGCTGGCAAAGAGGCAGAGGCTGTTAGAGAAAAAACTGACCTGGGAGGTACCGGCCTGTATCCCCTCCTGCCAACCCTGTCTTGTTTTTATTCATAGAGCCATTACAGTATTATATTAGCCTTCTATTTGTGTATGTGCCTCCCCACTAGAATCTAAGTTCCATGAAGGCAGGGACCTTGTGTGTTTTGTTCACTCTTTGTTTCTTCAGCACATAGAACAGTGCTTGGTATTGTTAAAAAAAAGAGACAATAGGACCAAAATGGAGTCCCTTGTGCTAAGCCCCACATCAGCAAACCAAGACTTAATATCTAACCTAATTGCAATGTCAACCTCTCTCCTAGTCTTAAAATAGCCAATCTGGAATTTCCTGGTCAGCAGTAGTAAGGTAATCTATCTGATAAAACCCTGCCATCCCCCCAAAAAAGATGAGGTAATGGCTCTTTCCTTGTCCCTGACCCCTTCTACCTATAAAAGTCTCCCAAATTATTCAGCTCTTCGGAGCTCCTTTCTGCATGGGATGCTGCCTGACTCACGAATAGTTGAATAAAGCAAATTATATCTTGAAATTTACTCAGTTGAATTTTGTTTTTTAACAACATATAGTAAGTGCTCAATAAACAGTTTTTGAATAAACACAGAAAAGCCAGAGTTCAAATGCCAGGGAGAGAATCAAGACAAGCACTAAGCTTAGGGAGGAGCTAGATATGCAACAGAAAGGGAGACAGAGGACTTTAAATCAATTCAGGTGGGATACGGAGAAAGGCTAAAGGTGTCTGAGTGATTTCCTTATGGCATAGGACTTGAATATATGGACAGCGTTGATGAGTTAACCCCATTTAGAGGGCCCAAGGAGACACAGTCATTGAGGTAAAGCAAGGAGTTAATCCAGAAGATTAAAGATGAATCAGCCAGACTTGGATCTAGTTCAAATGTTTGAAACACTAAGGTACTTTTACGCAAGGTTGCTCCTAATAGATTGAGTGAAAGCCCTTTAAATCTATGAGACTTTCCACACGAAAGGGGTGGTGGTCAGAAAAAGGAGCCAGGTAAAGGTGGCTACATGGTCTAAGACACTGTTTTGTGAAAGGGTAAGAAAGAAATTTAGTTTTCAGGAAAGTAAGTGGATTTGCAAAAGGCATTTTAGGGGATAGGGTGGAAGTGGCTGGAGATGAGACTGGCAAGGTAAATTACACCTACATTGAGAGGCATTTTGTGGGTCCAAATGGACAGTTTGCTTCTTATATTTTTCCATGGGGGAGGAAGTAGGTAGGAAGATCACAGAAGTTCTTTTTTATCAAACAAATCACATAATCAGTTTTTGTTTATTTTTGAAGACAAATATGGTGGAGATGTGAAGAGTCACTGGAAATAAGTAATACTAAGGGTGTGGAAGGACTACAATAGGGTTAGGAGACTCTGCAATAAGAGAAACAAGAGGCAATAAAGACCTGGACTGGAACAGCAGTAATTAGAGAAGAGGGGAAAGGCCAAATATGACAGATATTTCTGAGGAATAATCTACAAAATGTCATCGCTAATTGGGTTTAGTGGTGGACAGAGGAGGAATGAGTTTTGTTTCTGGCTTTGGAGATGGTGAGAAGAGTAACATCACTGTGTTAGAACAAGGATACTGAAAGGGACAAGTTTAGGAAGAAGATAAAAGATATGTAAATTGGTAGTGTGTGGGATGTCCAATTATCAAATGATTTTATTTGATAATTGGAGATATGCATCTTTTTGGAAAGGTTGTGATTTGGGAGTCATGAATATGGGAGTTGAAGCAATTAGTAAATAAAGCCTCCCGGTGAGGGTGCAGAGAGAGAGGAGGACAAAGGATAAGATCTCAGAGGACCCCAACATTCAAGGAAATGTAAAACCCCTCTGTAGTAAATCACATTTGCATCCTACAAAGTAGGAGCAATCATATTCAAATTTATGTTTTTGTTAGCATACAGCCAGAGAATAACTATCACAAAACGTTGTTGCATTGCATTTCAGTTAAAGGCTATCAAAATACCTAATATCTTACCAATGAAAAAATGTATTTGTGGTGGGAAAGAAGGAGAGGGAGAATAGGTCAGTATGTATAGGGATGCCTGGGGAATAGTTAGAAAAAGGTTTGGGAGTTTCCTGATGGCCTAGTGGTTAGGATTCTGGGCTTTCACTACTGTGGCCAGGGTTCAATCCCTGGTCGGGGAACTAAGCTCTCACAAGCTGTGCAGCACAGCCAAAAAAAAAAAAGTTTCAACCCAGAGAATTCTATGACATTGAGTGGCTTTCTATTTCTAGCTGTGGGTGCTAAGCTTCCGGTATTGCCTTGGGAAAATATCATTCTCACTGCTTCACAAGGAACTGGATTTAGAAAGATTCCTCTTTCCTATTTTACCTCCTCATATGACAAGATAAATTAGCCACAGCTACAAAATCAACCTAAAGATTTCCATCATTTTAGCTATAAATGGGGACAAGAATGGACCTCCTTATAAATTATGTTCTGTTTTCTTACAGTGCCTTTAAAGAGAAACGATGGCTTCAGCAGTTAGGAATAGCAAGAGTCCTAGCGAAAAAGAGCATTTCTAACCTGACTACCCAAGGAGGCCTGACAGCGTGTGAAAATCCTCCAGAAATTTTGCTTTCAAAAGTCATGACAATCCCAGTTTGGGTGAAGACCTGGTCAAATAGAACTTCTAGTTCTAATGCTAACATTTCTAATAACAGTTCTAATGTTGGAATTTCTAATAATAGTTCTGATGCTACATGACTATCAACAGGTTATTTAATGTTTAACACCACGTTTCCTTGGACTCCATCACGCAAAGTGAAAATTTAGGGCATTTGTTTTTGCATAAAGAGTCTGAGGAAGAATTCATAAGAAACTAAGAATAGTAGTTGCCAACAGGGTAGGGCAACTGGGAAGGTGGGAAACAAGAACATGAGCAAGAATGTTTACTTTCTCTTATTTTTGCTTTCCTGGGATTTTTAAAAATACTTTTTGTTTCTTAAACCATATGAATGTAGTACATAGTAAAAAATTAACTTAAAAAATTCTATATAGGGCAAGTCCCTATGAGAGTTATAAATACCATCTAAGTCTAATACTGGTCTCAGACATCTTTTGAATTTCTGCTAAAACACTGCTTACTATTAATTTTTAAAAATTGAGGTAGAGGGCTTCCCTGGTGGCACAGTGGCTAAGAATCCACCTGCCAATGCAGGGGTCACGGGTTCGAGCCCTGGTCTGGGAAGATCCCACATGCTGCGGAGCAACTAAGCCCGTGCGCCATGGCCGCTGAGCCTGTGCTCTAGAGCCCATGAGCCACAACTACTGAGCCCATGTGCTGCAACTACTGAAGCCTGTGTGCCTAGAGCCTGTGCTCCCACAACAAGAGAAGCCACCGCAACAAGAAGCCTGCATGCCACAACTACAGAAAGACTATGCACAGCAACGAAGACACAATGCAGCCAAAAATAAAAATAAATTTAAAAATAAATAAATTTATTTTAAAAAATTGAGGTAGAGTTTTCATACAGTAAATTGCAAAGATCTTAAATCAATGGCTTTAACTAATATATATATCTGTGTAACTAACAGCAATCAAGATGTGAACACTTCTATTACCCCAGAAAGTTCCTTCAGGCTCCTATCTAAGTCTATCTTAATCCATATAGACACCTGCTATTCTGATTTCTTTTTTTAAATAAATTTATTTATTTTATTTATTTATTTTGGGCTGCATTGGGTCTTCGTTGCTGCGCACGGCCTTTCTCTAGTTGCGGTGAGCAGGGGCTACTCTTCGTTGTGGTGCACAGGCTTCTCATCGCAGTGCCTTCTCTTGTTGTGGAGCACAGGCTCTAGGCGCGCGGTCTTCAGTAGTTGTGGCATGTGAGCTCAGTAGTTGTGGCTCACGGTCTCTAGAGAACAGGCTCAGTACTTGCGGTGCACGGGCTTAGTTGCTCTGCAGCATGTGGGATCTTCCTGGACCAGGGTTCGAACCCATGTCCCCTGTATTGGCAGGCGGATTCATAACCACTGCGCCACCAAGAATTCCTGCTATTCTGATTTCTACCTCCACGCATAACATTTCCCAATTAAAGGAATCATATAGTTGTTTACTTTTATGTCTGGGTTATTTTGCTCAACTTAATCTTTTGAGACTCATTTACATTGTTGTATGTATTAGTAGTACATTGTTTTCCTTTTTCTCTATGTAGTGATATCCCTTTTTTCATTCCTGATATTTGTATCTTTTGCCCTCTCTATTTTATTTTTGTCGTGAATAGTCAGTCTTGTAATGATTTTGTCAATTTTACTAGTTTTCTACAATGAATCTTTTGTTTATTCTTTATGTTGTATATTTGCTTTCTAATTTGTTAATTTCTTGACAGTTTCTACTTCTCTGATTAAATACTTTATCTGTCATCTAATGTTTTGGACATACTATTCATAGTTATTTTAGAGTACAGGTCTAATAACTCCAATATCTGTACTTCCTCCATACAAGTCTTCCGTAGTATTCCATTGTGTAGGCACACCATAATTTATTCAAATGTGTGTACCTTTGGGTTGCTTCAGTTTTGTGATATTGTGAATAAAGCTGCTTTAAACATTACTGTAAAGGTCTTTTTCTGGTCATATGCTTTCCTTTCTTTTGGGCAAGCACCTAGGTGTGGAATTGTTAGGTAATAGAGTAAATGTACATTTAACATTATAAGAAACTACCTAACAGTCCTCCAAAGTGGTATTACTGTTTTACACTTCCACTAACAATATACAAGTATTCTGGCTGCTTCACAGATCCACCAAAATGTGGTGTTATTAGTACTTTTGATTTTTAGTTATTCTAGGGGGTTTGAAATGACATTTCGTGGTTTTAATTTGCATTTCCTTAATAACTAATAATACTGAATGTTTTTTGTGTGCTTATTGGCCATTTGTACATTTTCTTTTGTGAAGTGTCAACTCAAGTTTTTTGTCCGTTTAAAAAATTGTGGTGCTTTCCTGGTGGTGCAGTGGCTAAGAATCCGCCTGCCAATGCAGGGGACACCGGTTCGAGCCCTGGTCCAGGAAGATTCCATAGGCCGTGGAGCAACTAAGCCCACGTGCCACAACTACTGAAGCCCACGCGCCTAGAGCCCGTGCTCTGCAACAAGAGAAGCCACCGCAATGAGAAGCCCATGCAACAAAACGAAGAGTGGTCCCCGCTCACCCCAACTAGAGAAAGCCGTGCGCAGCAAGGAAGACCCAACTCAGCCAAAAATAAATAAATAAATTTTTAAAAATTGTGTTGTTTATCTTTTAATTATTGGTTTATCAGAGATTCCAATATACTCATGATACAAGTTGGTTTATTTTTGGCTGCACTTGGGCTCAGTAGTTGGATTCTAGAGTGCAGGCTTCAGTAGTTGTGGCACACGGGCTTAGTTGCTCCGCAGCATGTGGGATCTTCCTGGACCAGGGATCAAACCAGTGTCCCCTGTATTGGCAGGCGGATTCTTAACCACTGCACCACTGGGGAAGTCCCGCAAGTTCTTTGCCAGATACATGTATTGCAAATATATTTTCCCAATCTGTGGCTCTCTTTTTCATTTTATTAATGGTGTCTTTTGATAATGAAAGTTTTTAACTCTAATGAAGTACAATTTACCATTTTTTTCTTTTATGGTTCATGCTTTCTGCTTCCTCTCTAAGAAATCTCTGCCTACCCCAAATTCATGAAGATATTCTTGTTTTCTTCTAGATGTTTCACAGTTTTAGCTCCTATGTTAGGTCTATAATCCATCCTTAATTATTTTTGTGTGTGTGATGTGAGGTGAGAGTCAATTCTTTTCCATAAGTTTATCAAATTGTTCTAGTACAAGTTGTTGAAAGTTCTTTCCCCTCATTGAATACCTTGGTACTTTTGTCAAAAATCAATTTACAATATATGTATGGATCTACTTCCAGACTCTCTATTCCATTCCATTGGCCTATTTATTTTTCCTTATACTAAAACCACACTGTCTTAATTACTATAGCTTTACTGTGGGCCTTGAAATCAGGTAGTATGAATAACTTTGTCCTTTTTCCTACTTTGTTTTGGCTATTCTCAGTCCTTTGAACTTCCAAGTAGATTTTGAAAATAAACCTGTCGGTCTCTATAAAGAAGCCTGTTGGGATTCTGATTGGTCACAACTGACATCTTAATAATAGTGAATATTACAGCCCACGATATATTTCTCTATCCATAGTATATGTCCCCATTTAAGTCTTCCATGATTTCTCTCATCAATGATTTTTAGTTTTTAGTGTAGAGGTCTTACAAATCACTTATTGTTTTCTTAAATATTGCATATTTTTGATGCTATTTGCTAGGAAGATTTTTAAGATAGATTCTGTTACAATAGTCAGAAGCACCTAAAATCTAAATCTCATTTAAAAAAATAACTTTAGGTTTCTAGTTTGATATTATGGTGTTGGGGGCACATAGAAGGTTAATACAAAAGAAAATACAAAGATGCTACCAAAGAGATGTTGTAAGGTAGCATGTATATAGGTATTAGTTCATTGTAGAGACAGCAAGAGGGGACAGTGAGTGGAAGAGGGCACAGCAAAGGTTCTGGGGTACTGGTAACATTCTATTTCTTTTTTTTTTTTTTTTTTTTTGCGGTACGCGGGCCTCTCACTGTCGTGGCCTCTCCCGTTGTGGAGCACAGGCTCCGGGCGCGCGGGCTCAGCGGCCATGGCTCTCGGGCCCAGCCGCTCCGCGGCATGTGGGATCTTCCCGGACCCGGGCACGAACCCGTGTCCCTGCATCGGCAGGCGGACTCTCAACCACTGCGCCACCAGGGAAGCCCACATTCTATTTCTTGATCTGGGTTAACAGATGTGTTCAATTTGAGAAAATTCAACAAGAAGTATTTTTTAAGACTCTATCCTTTTCTGTATGCATTTTATCATCCAGTTGAAAAAGTTAACTAAAATAATGAAAAAAAAATTCAGGAGCTAATTCACGCATTTGATGGCAGCCTCAGACTCATGAGAGGGCAATTCATGTGAGTGATGGGTGTCACCATGCTTCCTTCCCCTTGACAGTGTGCTGAATTGAACTGAGATTCCTTGCAAGAGAGGATACTATTTTATGTATCATTGAAAACATAACCAAGGAGGTGCCTGGTGCAAAGATTCTGGGGCAGGAGTTTCTATGAAGAAGAAAGAAATATGGGGAAATATGAGAGGAAAAAAAGGAGGTGGAGGATGATAAGGAGAAAATGTGAGAGGACAATTGATATGAAGCCTTGTTCCTTGCCAGAATCAACTGAAAAATTACAGAGTATTTATCCTTTCTTCACTTTAGCCCTAGTAAGATAGCATGAAGTGACATTAAGATCTCATTTTCTTATAATATTATACAGTTGTAAAGCATTATTATTAGCATAGACAGGATACCATGGGACATTTATTCTAAACCTGAATCTTATTTAAATCAAAGTTAAGTGTCACCTTCTCTTTGCTCCAGGTCATTTTGTTCCTTCCTCGGGTATTACCACTCATCACACTGTATTCAGATTACTTGACTGTCTCCTTTACTTTATTATCATCTCCTAGAAGGCAAGGACAGTGTTTTATTCATCTCTAAGTTGCCAAGGCATAGCATATGCTTGAGCTTTGAGTCATTGCTCTATAAATATTTGTTATATTAAATGAATGGATTTTAGCATGATCATGCTCATGGAATTCCCAATGACCTGTGTACACAAAATCTGCTCCTATAAAATATAAATGTTTCAGTTAACAAATCATTTGTTAATGCTAATTTATTGTTTAAGTTGATCATCAAAATCAATTTCTTAATATGAATTTATTAACTCATCTGAGCATCATAGCAGCCCTGCATGACACAGAAGGATAGTCATCATTAAAATACCCATTTTACAAATGAAGAGGTTAAATTTATAACATATAAGAATAACTTATTGGAGGCCCTACAGGTAGTGAGAGTCAGAGCCAGATCTGGAACCTAGACTTTTGACTTTTCACTCAGGTA